TTTCCCCATCTCCACGCCCGCCCCCTCGGAGATCCCCGTGGTGTGCCTGCCGGGCCCCCAGAGGCCCAGCAAACTTTACCTCCTGTGGTAAGGGGCCCAGCCAGGCACACAGCATGGCGGCGGCGGGCAGAGGGTGACAGCAGGCTCCCAGAGGACAGGTGGACGGGAGGGGGCCCAGAGGGCCAGGCCAAGACCGACCAGATCCAGGAGATTGTGCAGGGGAGGAGCAGGAAGAGGAGACAGCGGCTGCCACGTCAACCCTCCTCTAGCGCTAAGGAGTGAACCACCAATAAAACCCGTCATCTCTCCAGGCTCATGTGGTTTCCTCCCTCCCGTGTCCAGCACCGTCGGGAACGCCGCCACCGGAAAGCGACGGGCTCTCTCTCGCGTCTGATCGGCCCCTGGGCTGTGCCCACGCCCGGCGGCCCCCAGAGAGGCGCCGGGGCCGGGGCCTTGGAGAAACACACGCTGGAGCCGAAACCCCTTCGCTCCACACTGAAGAGGGACAAATCAAAGGGCTCAGTCGCTGTTTACATTCCCTTCTCTGCCTACTTATTAGGCCCTGCATTTCCCCAAATCAAAAATCCCACCTCCCGTGCTCCAAAATAAAACCTATTTATGGTCCCTAATTAGGCTTTAATGAAGATCTCCCCTGGGTGCGAGAGGCAGCACACACTTGCAACGCCCCCAGAGGTGCGGCTGTTTGTGACGGTACAGAAGGCTGCCCGTTACAGTAGGCAGGCACCAGCGCTGGCAATTAGCTGTCATTCTCCCCACCCTCTGAAGGAAGCAAGGACATTGTTCTAAAAGGCATCTTTTGGCCGGGATCTTGGCACCTCCTAGGCACGAGGCATCAGAGTCAAGGTAGAAAGAGCAAGGGGTCAAAGTTCAGGAATTGTATTGTTTGGTTTCTCATACTTTTCAACTTTGTCTACCAAAACCTTTATTATGGCCCAGACGGTGTGGCTCATGTGACCCATGAACCCGGAGGTGACAGAACGATTTTGGTCAAGGCACGTGCCCAGGTTGCAGGCTCGATCCTGGAGCGGGGGGGAGGGGCAATGCAGGAGGCAGTGGACCAATGATTCTCTCTCATCATTGATGTTTCTACCCTTCTCCCCTTCCTCTCTCTGAAATCAATAATAATAATAATAATAATAATAATAATAATTAAAAAAAAAAAAAAACATGGCAAGTGATGGGAGGCACTGAGCAATTTTTAGATGCAATGGCCCCGATTTCCAGTCATTGGGAACTTGTATAACCAGGAGGTTTCTACCTTTGTTTCCTTTCCTGGTGCAATGAAGAACTTTTAACCAACAACTGCATTGTCAAGAGCCCTGAGGCAAGACACCTCTGATCTCAACAGCTGCTGGGTGTCCTTGCTCCTGGAGGCGGCACTTTGCTCAGATCCCAACACAGAGTTCGGGTTTTACATTGTCCAAGGCAAACCACCGCCTTCCCAGAGTTCCCTGATGGATGTTCATTTCAGGATGTTCATGGTGACGGAGCTCCTGACACCGACACCCTCCCTTCTATGTCAGGCAGAGGCAGTTATAGTTTGTCTTCCCGTGTACGTGTGACTTGGTCTTCCTCAGATGACTCTGTGTATGGTGCCACGGGGAGCAACCTCCTGAGAGAGGCCCCAAAGGGCTGACATTGGGGTGACTTTGGGGAGTGGGCGGGGTGATTAAGGACTGGAGTCCAGGTACATAGAAATCTGTGCAATCTAGGTCACCCCATTTACGCCTGCAACTGCACATGGAGAAGGAATATTTCACACGAGTTTGCTTTCCATAGAACCTGAACGGCTCCACGGGGAAGGAGTCAGTGGTGCCAGCCAAATTAGATTACCATCTTTAAAGGTCATGGCCAACATGTCTCCCTCATCTCTGTGAACCCTCAAATTATGGCATAGCAAAGGCACGCAGGTATCTGTTGAACAAATTATTATTATCATCATAATAAATAAATAAAAAAAGAAGTTGCTATTTGCCTTTTGGATTTTGTAAAAGGATTGGGGGAGAGTCAGGAAGGAAGGTTACTGAATAAGTTATTCTCGGCCTGTGGAGCCTGCATGGCAATGAGTTTCTGGTCCAATTCAGTTCTCTCGTGGGAGTGACTTCAGACTTCCAATTATTATCACTATTTATAGTAGAAGCAGCAGCTACCATTTTTAGCAGCTCATATGCACCAGACACCGGGTTAGACCATGTTACATGCATTATTGCTAACTCGGCAAGAGAGGCGTGTTCCCATCACGCAGCTGCAGATACTGAGGCGGGAATTCCTGCCTGAGCCACCAGTGCTGCTTTCCTGGCCGCCAGCCCCCCGTGAGACAGTCTCTGGTCGCTCAGCTTTATTGCTTTAGCCTGCTGGAAACTTGATTAGCGGAGACGCGGTAATGGAAATCATTTAAAAGGACGGATGCTTTGAAGAAGGCACTTATTTAAATAAGAAAATAAAATGACTTATTACCTTAAGCCATCTTGGGTGTTTTGCAGAAGGGGGAAAAAATGGTTCTACTTTTGGAAATCGCCATAGTTTCAGCTGGAGGCAACTTCTCCAGCCATGCAAACCACACCAGTTTTATGTGTCCTGCGAGGTGGAGGGGAGTGGGTGGCCACACACCAGCCGCCTAAAGAAGGGCTCCGTCCTTACGGACCTTACAGTCTCGCTGGAGAGAGAAGGCACGCGCGACAGGCGATTTTAGAACACTTAGATGCTAAAGGCCATAGGAGCCTGTGAGTTCTCAGCAAAGCAGAGTTTGAGCAGACGTGGTGGATGTGAAATTGGAAACAGACCTTGAGGGACCTGTTGGCTGGCAGGCCCTCTGAGAGAGAGGATCACCCCCCCTGAGGGTGTGAGGGGATGTGGATGGGGGGTGGCGGGGTTGGGGGAGGAAGGGGGACCTGGGGGAGGGTGATGTTCTGCTGCCTGGCTGGCCGAGAAGGCAATGTGAATATTCTGCTGGGACTCCTGCTGGAAATCAAAGTAAATGCTCGTGCCCAGGACCTTTGGGCCAGGTCCCAGATATGCACTGGAGTTGGCCTGAGCCCCAAGCCTGCCCCTTCCCTGGTCCCCACTTTGTTTCTTTCGTTTCTTCCGCATCAAATAAGAATCCCGCCGCTTCCCCGCACCCTGTCCATGTGGTGAGAGGGAGGAGCAGCTGTGGACTTCTGAGGGCCGGGGAGGGATGCACCCTCGAAGAGAAGCCTCTGGATTGGAGGGAGGTGCAGAGAAAGGACCTCTCACATTGTCTGTGCTGGGTCCCTTCCTGGAAAGCCCTCGATCCCGCTCTGTGGCCCTCCTCCTCCCATTCTCCTCGTGGTCAGTGAAAGTGTGTCCAAGTCACCACTCTCCACCCTCCACAGAGTATATTCTCGTTTTCTGGAGAATCCTCTCCTCCCTGGTCATGCCCACGGCCTCTCTGAGCTCCGCCCACTTGCTGTAAGCTTCCCTCTGCCAGCAGCTTCCCTGTGGGGCCTGGTCCTGCCCCCGTGGGGCCTGTCACGAGAAGCAGGCAGTATCCAACTGTTGGGCTGCCAAGCAGAGCTTCATTCCTTCCCTGACTCTGAATGAAAAGTATTCACGCAGACACAGCTCACCCTGGAACGTCAATCCAGCTGTCCTCACGTGCCAAAAGGCTGCTCTCGCGCGCACACCCTGGGGGACCCTTCCCAGCTTCACCCCTGTTGCTTACTGGCCACGGCTATTTATGAAACTTCTGAACGGTCCAGAAGGGGATGAGCCAGGAAAATTCTCTTGGAAGGATTTAGTCCCGATACTCACACTTTTAACTACTTGTGAACTCAAGAGCTCGGAGAGATGCCTGGAAAATACCGAGACTCCCAAGCTCACAGGCACTAGCGCTTGATAGCAGGGAAGAAGGAACATGAGATTATTCAGACCAATTAGCAAACTCATTCAAGATGGGAATTTAAAATGTATATTCATGCCCGGCTGGTGTGGCTCAGTGATGGAGCGTCGACCTTTGAGCCAAGGGGTCACAGTTCAGTTCCTGGTCAGGGCACATGCCTCGGTTGCGAGCTCAATCCCCAGTGTGGGATGTACAGGAGGCAGCTGGTCAATGATTCTCATCGTTGATGTTTCTAGCTCTTGCTCCCTCTCCCTTTCTCTCTAAAATCAATAATGTGTGTGTGTGTGTGTGTGTGTGTGTGTGTATTTTTATTGGGCATTCAGTCCATGTAAGCACTCCAGCTATTGTCTTCCTGAGAGTGTGTCATCCCAGCACAGTGGCAGGGACCACAAAGGCAAGACTAAGAGTATATGGTCCCCAGATGCTCGGGATCCTTCTAGAAGGCCATGTTACCTGCCAATAAACAATCTGGGGGTATGGACATGCAGGTACGAAAAGGCTGTGACTCGAACTTGGATGGCACAGAAGGAGCAGGGCCTTTGTGCCTCCGACTGTACAGAGCTTTGGACAGTGTTAACAACAGGCCCATCCCAGCATCACTGAACTGGAAGCTAGAAGCCCCTTAGCAAAGGAAAGGACATTGCAGGTGTCACAGGTGCTCGCTCACTCATGGTGAAAACAGCAGGGAAGTAGGTATATCATTTCCGTGGAACAGGTGGGGAAACTGAGGCTTCGAGAAGTGCTTTGCCCACGCCCATGCGGCTACAAGAGTGAGGGGCCAGGCTTCTCCTCTGGTCTCCTGGCTCCGTTCTCTTAACTGCCTTCCCTGTTGCGGGCCCTGTGAGCATTCTTTCTTCTTTTTTCTGCGTGAGGATTTTTAGACAGTGGAAGGAAGCGGGAGAGACAGCGAGAGACACATCGATTGGCTGCCTCCCGCTCGGGGATCGAGCCTACAACCGAGGTATGTGCCCTTGACCGGAATCAAACCCAAGGCCCTTCGGTCCGTGGGCCAATTCTTTATCCATGGAGCCAAACCAGCTAGGGCCCTATGAGCATTCTTTATACAGAACGTATTTTCCTGTAAAATATTCATTATGGAAAATTCATTTGCACCTTTCAGCAGCCCCGCCACCACAGATTTTGTCGCGGAAGAGGAGGCCAAACCTGGGAAGAATGACGGTCAGCCCAGACATGCACAGCCCCAGAGGGGCTGCGGAGCGAAGCAGACAGAAGCCACAGCTGCCAGGGAAGGCGCCGGCTCTCTGGGGAGCAGGTAAGGCCCCGTGGCTCATATGTCTTCGTCCTCAGAGAGAAGTGACTTGTACTGTTACCGGATGGATTCTATAGGGTGTTTAGACACTTGTACTTTTATGTAAAGGAGAGTGTACCTTACAATGAAACACAGGTTTCAAAAGCAAGCCATTGGTTCTAGATCCCTTCTCCAAGGGAGGTTGGTGGGGGAAAGCAGGGCGGGGGAGTTTATTATTTTTCTATGTCATCCCTCCATAAGCGTGACTATGCATGGTTTTGAGTGGATGCCTGCCATTAGGCTGCCAGAGAGGGCATCTGCGTGTTGGGTGTTGAGTTCAGGGTAGAAACAGGGGGGAGGGGAGGAATGTCTCACTTGCTCACAATCCCCCCCACCCCTCCAGGAGTGTCTGTGAGTAGCAGACTGCTCACCTCGCACAGAGACCTTTTCCCCTCTGGCCCATGGTGCCAAGATCTTACTGTACGAAATAACATCAAAATGAATGTACGCTTCATTTCAAAATGCTGGCTTGGTAGACACCACCCTTTCAGTCCTGCGCATGCGTGCTAAGGCCTAAGCCATACTGCTCTGCTAACCATGTCGCCCTCTCCAGTGGTGGCAGAAGGACAGGACCTGAGGACCAAGGACAGCCAGCCCTGCCATGGGCTGAGTTACTGTTCCCTTTAAAACAAGGATAATAAAATCTATCTCATTGCATTGCTGTAATAGCTCAAGGAAGTAATGTACTGACCAGCACATGACTATAGTGGGCAGTGAACTAGTGCTGGTTTCTCTCTAGCTACCTCCCCAATAGTCCTTGATGAACTCTCAAATATTATTTAAAAAATGAAGCTCCCCATGCGTGAAACGTTCCTACACCCATGAGGCTCACACAGTCCTCCACCTGCACCCAAAAGACAACTTCCATTATCCTGAGAGATTCATTGAGAATTTGCCCCAATTTTCTCTTCTACCCAGGGCTCCTTATCTTCCCCCAACTATTTCCTCAGTAATCTCTCTTTAGTTCTTTTTTTTTATTTTTTTTTTTTTATTATTATTCTGAAGTGATTTGCAAACATTGGAGAAGGGCCCAGATGTTTGAATTGTATCCGAGAGGTAGTATATAGAAAGCTCTTACAAATCAATAATAATAAAAAAAAAAAAACACACCCAGAATATGAATACCTAATAGAAAAATGGGGTAGAGGCATAGCAGATAATTTCACAGAAGAAAGTAGCTAATAAACATTTGGGGGTAAAAAGCTCAACCTCCCTAAGTTATAAATGTAAGTTTACATGAGAAAAAATTGGCCTACCAAATTTACTAAGGTTTTTTAAGTAATTCTCAACACTTGATAATGACACTAATAACTAACTTTCCAGGCACTATGGTGTCAGATGCTATCTATGCCAAACCTGGTAACATGGCTGTGAGAGATGCTTTCATATCCCACCTGTAGGGTAACTTGGCACAAATTGGAATTTAGCAATGTGTCAAAAGGTAGAAATTTACACCTTTTGATCTTGCAATTCCATTTCCTAGGAATCTATTCTAAGACTATAAGACAGATAGTCAAAGATGCATGGGCAAGGACATTGATCATGGTGTAATTTATGGTAGCAAAAACCTAGAAACAATCTCTATACCCAATGATAGGAGAAGAGTTCAACAAATTTAAATTGCAATACATTTATATACTGTAATGAACTCTTATATCAGAATTAAGATCCTAGTCTTAAAATTGATGGCAGGAGATAATGCTCATAATAAGAGTTTTAGGGAAGAAAAGCAGGACATAAAGTTGCATATAGCCAACTATTCCAATTTTATTTTTTTAAAACAATATTTCTAGATAAGAGAGTCCCAGATGCCTCCATGAATAGGTGGTTCTGGTAGGGGAAATACATAGCAAGGGCTGCAGGTGGGGCCTGGGGTCAGCCAGCTCATAGGTGCTCTACCTAAAGGTGTTAACTCGGGTTCAAATGCTAATGCCAACGCACAATTGCAAGACGAAAACAGCCCAGCGAGCTTTTCTGTTGCCCTGACTGGGAATCGAACCAAGGAGCTTTCGGAGAATGGGACAGTGCTTAACCAACCGAGTCACACCAGCCAGGGCCAGCCCAGGGATCTTGACTTTGTAATCTGACCTGGAATGACAGGGCAGTGGCAATGCCATGTGAGTTTTGGAATTTGGGCAGTTTTTATTTCTCCATCCTCTTCTGTATGTTCCACGTTTTCTACCGTGAATATCGACTACTTTTATAACCAGAGGGAAACAATGAAAAGGATATGGCTGTCAGAACGTAGGAAGCTATTGGCCAAGCACACAAAGAAGTCTAGGGCAGCCGGATGCCGTTTCCGGTTTCCTCTCGTCACACCTAGAACATTCAGTTGCTTCTAGTTGAACTCGTGGAAATGGCAGGCACTCCATTCACTGCTGGAGCCCAGGCAGGGCCTCAGAGAGGCCCAGGCAGCATCTGTGGGGCTGCTCTATGAATAGCACATCCCTGGCATACCACACCGGTGTTGATTCCCAGGCCTTGAACTATGAAATCTGCTCCCTATTTGATAGTCGCAAGAAATAGGATTAAAATAGCATTAATATAGAATGCACGGTCAACCATCTTAAGGGGAAACACACACACACACACACACACACCCGGGAGGCGCTGTGGAAGTTGTAGAGGAAGGCAGTGGTGGTGACAGGAAGGGTGGAGATGCATTTCCTGAGCGGCAGCAGCACTCAGCCTGGGACTCCGCCTGCCCCGGAGGCCAGTGTCACCAGGTGGCAGCTGGTGGCTTCCAGGAAATAAGCTTATGGCTCCTGTTGACTTTCCGGTTTCCGTTTTGCAGAAGCTGCCCCAGCTGATTCTTTCGCCCATTAGGTGTCTCCCAAAGCCTGAACCAAACTGGCTCTGGGCAGGTTCAGAGTGTTCAGGGAGCGACCAGAAGATTCCGGTTCCGGCCTATAGGTACACAGCCAGATGCTCAGGGCACTCTGGCATTGCTGATGTGTCTATTACCGGGGCTTACAAAACCCACGAGGGGCCTGGTAGGAGGGCGTAAATGATTTCCAGAAGAGCCGATGAGTAAAGATTCGCACTGAGGGGCTGAGTGTCCCCTGCAGCTCACAAAAAAAGAGGCTTATGGAACATTAGGACGCTAGAGGCTGGAGCTGGCGCTCCCCTGGGAGGCCTCAATTAAAGCGAGTCAGTATTGACTTGCCCTTCTCTGAGCCAGGCGTGCTCGGAGGATTTGCATTTCACCTGCCTGAGCCGTTATCACGCGGCCTTCCTGAACCTGTCCACGGAGTGCAGTCCCGCCCACTCTACACGGTGAACCGTGAGCCGCTTTAGAAATGGAATGGTAAGGACAGCAGGGCCTTGTCAGATCCTGCAGGCTAGCAGCCAGGGAGCTGAGGGGGAAGGCCAAAGCCAGGAGGGGACAAAGGTAAGTGGGATCACAGAAGTATTTTCAATGTCCTATGCATGTCAAGATGCTAAAAAAAAAAAAAAAAAAAAAAAAGCCCTTAACAACACACACAGCGAATGAGTTATATGGATGCTCATTTTCACAAGGAAATTGGAAGTCCAGCCAGTTTCTTTCTTTTTTTAATACTCCCCCCCCCCTCCCCCAGAGGAAAGGAAAGGGAGAAAGAGAAACATCAATGAGAGAGAATCACTGATTGGCTGCCTCCTGCAACACCCCCCACCCACACACACACACACACACACACACACACACACACACTGGGGACTGAGCCCACAATCCGGGCATATGTCATTACAGGGAATGGAACTGTGACCTCCTGGTTCATAGGTCAACACACAACCACAGAGCCACGCTGGTCTGGTCAGCCAGTTTCTTAAGCATACTGCAAACCATGTATCTTAAGAAAATAAATAGGGTATTGGGCAGGCTTGAGTTAAAATTTTCGCTCCATCACCAACTAGAAGTATGATTTGGGCAAGTTACATGACCTCCCTAAGCCTTGGTACCCTCACTTATAAACTGTAGTACCTGTTTCATAGGATTGTGAACCTAAATATGTACATGTAACACAGTTAACTTGGTGCCTGGCCTGTTTCGTGTACTAGTAAGCTCTCAATCAGTAGGCTTAGTCATTATTTTTATAAGGCAAGTTTTGACCAAATGATTGTTTTGGTAAAATGGTATGTATAGCCAGAGGTCACAAAATGACTAGGGACTAGTGAAAAAGAGGAGGTAATGTGAGCATTATTGATTTTTATTTGCTCTAAATGCAGTCACAGGTCATATATTTAATTGGACACCAGCTTCTAGAGCCTTCTTCCTCCCAATCTGCCAAGGCAGACTGTACTTTTCCTAAGATTGTGTAGAACTGTGTGTGAAGCAGGGGTGTCATAAATGTGTGTTGTATGAATTCAGATCACAAAGCACTGGTAGTTTTTGTAGAAGTCATTCCTGGCGGTTTTCCTTTCCAACAAACACTAGAATAAAAACCGCCCGTGTGAGATTTACACATCGCCAGCCCTGACTGGCTCGGGGCTGGGCAGTCTGCCTGGAGCTTCTGCAGAAAGGATGTGTACCCTCCGGCTCAGCCTGTTTCCCCAGAACCAGCCCGAGTCCCACAGACACACCGAGGAGAAGTCAGAAGCAGTCCGATGAAGCCAGCTCTGGGGCAGAAGTCTCATACCCTCCCGCCATGTTGACCACGTGTCTTTTCCCCTCTAAGCTTGTTTGTTGCCTAAGGGACTCTCACCCTTGGTAGTGGAGGTCCTTTGTCCATGAGCATCTACAGTAAAATGATAAACTTGTCTTTTCTCAATGCAGATGCAGTTCAACGAGAAGGCCCAATGTGGGCAAGTGACTCTAAGCTGAAGAGGCCAATTCTAGAGAGAAGAAACTTGGTCCCATCCTCACAGCCCTTGGCGATGAGCAAGAATACCTCTGAAAGAGCCAGAAAAGGGGACCTGCGTGGCCTTTCCCAGAATGAGCCCCGTCCAGCCCTCTCCCAGGCCTTCCCAGGAATGAACAGCCCTAGAGTGCTGAGTGAGTCCTTGGGGCCACCGCTCTTCACCACCACCATGGGAGGGTCACAAAGGGTGCCGTTTAGGTTCAGAGATGAAGATTTCTATTCCATGCTATCATTAAGTCATGGAGAAGACGATGAAGACACTGAAGAGGAAATCCAGGCAGAGGAAGAGCTTCTGTTGCTTGGTATGCATGCACCCCATTCTCCTTCCAGTCATAAGAGAAGTCAATTTCTTGGAACTCAGGCCAAATTTAAAAATTTTAAAGAAAATCCTGGAAATTGCAGGGCTAATTCTGTAAGAAATGAGTCCAGTCATGGCTCACTAGGAATAAGCAGTGTAAGGGAGCCCGTGAGAGAGCAGTCTTCTGATGGGCAAAGGATGTTCCAAGACCCCAGGCTGCCCGATGGGGAGTCTACTGACGAGAGTGACAGTAGTGACGATGAAAATGAGAAAAAGACGTTTCGCTCACAGGACACCAAATTCAAACCCAACCTAGATGATGACCTCAACCCTGAACATGTATTTAGCGATTCTACTTCTCTGGAAGTCAGGTCTGGCACTCAGGATTGTGAAAGAGAATGGCAACCCCATTTACATAGTTCTAGTACTTCTCTTGATTCTTTTAGTTCTGGTACACCAACAGCTCCAAGATCACCAAGAAATCCATCTTATAACATCCCTGGATCATTAATGCATTCTGCCCCGAGAGAAGACATTCCAGGAGACTTGTCAATGACATCTACTTCCGCTCACAGCTCAGACTCAGATGGAAACTCAAGGTTTCATGCTCGTCAACCACTGTCTCCAATTAGAAACAGGAACTCATTCGCCAGTGTCGAAAACCACAGTTACTTTCCAGGGAACAGTGCACATGAATTTGGTGTCAGGGGAGCAGAAGCTAATCCTTTAACAAGTCAATCTCAGAGGGCTCCCGTGTTTACAGAAGATCTCTTACTGAACTCTCAGAGCAGCATGCCACTGATGGAGCCTTCCGGCTCCTTTCCGCCAGGAATGAACTTACAAGGACACTTGCTTGTGCCCGGGTCCCTGCAAGAAAATATGCCATTTACTTTCTTTGCAGTGTCTGATTTTCCAAATCAAAGTGGTAATGGAGATAGAAGGGCAGTCATTGGTTTCATAGATGAAAAAGAAGCCACTGAAAAAAAGGCAGACCCAGAGAAACTCAAGAAATTGCAAGAAAGGTGAGGACTTTTCATAATTATATATAAATACATATGTTTTTATTCCATGTTTCCTATGCTGAAATAAGCAGTGCTTTTAGTAAAGGGTCATGGGAATTTTAAATAATAGGTAAGCCCTGCCTTGACATTTTAATGACCACTTCTATTGAGAAAGTTGTCTATTTTGTTGCTCTTAAAATATGCGCAGCTATAAAGAAAAGTTTGGTGTTCCAGTTCAATTTCTTCAATATCCCCTATTCGTTTTTTCTCCCCCTTGAATACTGCAATTTTTAAGAAAGGTAAGTTTGCTAGGTATCAGGATTTCTGACTGCTCCATAGGACTAGCATTTCTTACTGGCAACTAGGAAACAACATTTTTTATGAAAAGGTTGCTATCTCCCCAACATCGGCACTTAAAGTTCACCAGCTCTCCCTCATGGGACTTTGCACAAACCCAACCAACAGTTTTAGAATTTGAATCTTCCGAAGTAAAAGGCAGGTCCCCAATGGTTACTATAGTTACCTCAGTTCTCTGAAGGGCTGCTCTGGGGTAACCACTGCTTCCATTTTATTTATTTTTTATTATTTATATATATTTTTAATTTATTTCAGAGAGGAAGGAAGAGGGAGAAAGACAGAAACATCAATGAGAGAGAAGCATTGATCGCTATCTCTTGCATTCCCCCTACTGGGGATGGAGCCTGAGATCTGCGCAGATGCCCTGACCAGGAATCAAAACCTGACCAGGCACCTTTCTCTCTCTTTGTCTCTCTCTTTGTTAATCCTCACCTGAGGATATTTTTCCCATTGATTTTTAGAGAGAGGAAGGGACAATGTGAAAGACACAGATTGATTGGTTGCCTTCCACACATGCCCAACCAGGGCCATGTATCGAGCCTGCAACCAAGGTACCAGAATCGAACCTGAGACCCTTCGGTCTGTAGGCTGACACTCTATCCACTGAGCCAAACCAGCTAGGGTTAGGAAGTACATCTCATGTGTGAGAGAGATTTATATTTATATATATATATATATATATATATATATATATATATATATATATATATATATTTCAGAAAGGAAGGAAGAGGGAGAGATATAAAAACATCAATGATGAGAGAACCATTGATTGGCTGCCTCCTGCATGCCCCCCACTAGGGATCAAGTCCACAACCTGGGCATGTGCCCTGACTGGGAATCGAACCAAGACCTCCCAGCTCAAAGGTCCATGCTCAATCATTTAGCCACACCAGCTGGGCAGCAAGTAGATCTTCTTTTTTTAATTACTCTTTTGTTTCTTATGAGTTGGTATTGGATATTTCACGATTATCAAATTTGATAATTTGAAAGCCATCATTAAGCACCATGTCAGGATTCTGCCATTTCATTTACGATAAGTGTTACCATGCCCTGACCTTGGTTTACAGCTCTGGAAATCAATTCTTTGAATTCTGGCCCTTTTGTGTAGCTCATTTGGGCCACTAATTATCCTATTGATATTCATTTATAAGTGGGAAAATTCCATGGTAATGAATTAGACATACAAGAAAGGAGGGGGGAAAAATAGAACATAGAATGCATACATACTCCTAGATGTCTTTTATCCAACTGCAGAAATGAAGCGAGTTTCTAGTGAGGAGCACCTTTTCTTAAACAAACTACCAGGAGACTGCCCCGTGGTTAAAGACCAAAAGCTCACACCCATCCATCCTCCCTGACCCAGAAGAGTCTCAACTTCCACCACGCAAAGTGCCTTTGGGCTAAAAATAATTTCCTTTAAAAATGCATCTACTTCTAGGCACAGTAGTGCATTAAACAGCTATTATTTGTGTGCTTTATCAGACACTCCCTTTTTTCTGTATATAATAAATCTTATACCTTTCTCACTTCCAAAATATTCATCCTAGGAATTATTAGAAATATGAACTTAAAAGAAAAATTATCTATAACTTTATAATCCAGCGATAAGCATTGACAAAACTGTTTTCAGTCTTTTATCTTTGCATATAAATGCAATTTTGAATAAGGATTGGTTCTTGTTTCATAACTAGTGGCCCAGTGCATGGATTCATGAACATTGAAAGGAAATTAATTAGAAGAAATATTTTAATAACGCTCTTCACCCTTCCTCTATAATAGAAGCATCGGCCAAATTTACAATTGGCAATGACAGATCAAAACACGCACATGCAATTGGCACCAACAAGAGCTTTATATGTATCATGCATGTGCGAGTCAACGTTTATTTTTAAATTGCCATTGTGTGTCTTATGTACCAGCCGGTCAGATGGTTGGATAGATGGTCGGTCACTTAGCCATATATATATATTTAGAGACCTGGTGCACAAAATTTGTGCACTTGGTCGGGGGGAGTCCCTCAGCCCGGCCTGTGCCTTCTCACAGTCTGGGACCCTTTGGGGGATGTCTGCCTGATGACTTAGGCCCTCTCTCCCCAGAGAGTGGGCCTAAACCAGCAGTCAGACATCCCTCATGCAGTCCGGGGCTCTTGCAGTCCAGGACATCTTTCACCTTACTACCCGCCTTGTGCTCACCAGCCATGAACCCGGCTTCTGGCTGAGCAGTGCCCCCGCTGTGGGAGTACACTAACCACCAGGGAGTAGTTCTTGCATTGAGCGTCTGCCCCCTGGTGGTGTGCATCATAGCGGCTGATGGTTCCTCTATTTGGTCAATTTGCATATTAGGATTTTATTATATAGGACTAGAGGCCCAGTACATGAATTCATGCACAGATGGAGTCTGGCCGGCCCACCCCGATGGGGGCCCATCAGGCTGGGCTGGCGGTGTGGAGGGCCTGCAGATGGTTGGCCAGCTGGCCCTGCCCTCAATTGGGGTGTTGGGGGCCGATTGGGAGCCAAGCCAGCCAGGGATGGGGGCCTGACTGGGGCCCAGATCAGGCTTGCTGGCTGCCGCAGTGTGCATCATAGTGACTGGTTGTTCCAATCATTCTGGTCATTCCACTGTCTGGTCGCTGGGCTTTTATATAGAGAGATAGATATACCTTATTTTAATATTTCAAGCCTATTTCTCAATGCACTTTATGCTCTTTAAAATGTCTCCCTTGGGTAGTTACTTTAATACATACAAATAAGTATATAACATATGTACCTTCTAGAGAATTAGAACGAAAACAAGACCCAGACATCCCTGTGTCCACCTTCGAGCTAATAGAACATTGCTGGAGCTGGTGAGCCCCTCACCCACCTGTCTCACCTCCTCCCTCACCCCCTCCGTCCCAGCCCTTCCACCCCAGGAAATCATACGTGCATTGCCCATATCATTCTTTGCTTCTTATTTTGTTATTGAATTTTATTTTTTTTTTTGCTTTATGGTTTTACCATATGAATATATGTCCTCTTAAATAATACATTGTGCATATTTTTGAATTCTATAGAAATGTCACTATTATTTTTTATCTATTCTGTGAAATATAATATCTATTCTTCTACAATTTGCTTTCTCCCCCTTATATCATTAGTGGGATACATCCTGATACTTTTGGCTTTAAATCGTTCACTTTTACCACTACAAAGTATTCCATTATATGACCACCACCACAATCCGGCCATTCTCCTGTAGATGGGCATTTGAGTTCTTTGTTATTTCCTGTAAATGTTCTGTGTGAACATTCTCATAAGCATCTCCTGGTGCATATGAAAAGGGTTCTCTGGGGTATTATTTTACCTAGGAGTGGAATTGCAGGGCTGTGGGGGGCATACCTTTCACCATACTAAATCATGTGAATTTATTGTCTCACCTTGCCAGCACTTGTATTGGTTAGCTTTTTAAATCTTTTGCCAGTCTGATGGGAGCAAAAAGATATTGTAGCTTTAAGTTACACCTTCGTGACTATTAATGAGGCTAGGCGTGCTATGTGCTCTTTGGAATATTAAATGACAATTGTGTTTCCTCTTCTGTATGTCTTTGCCCATTTTTTTAAGAATATGTTTATTTTATTTTAGAAGTCCTTTACATATTCTGGCTACTAGTCTAATTGTTTGGCAGTTATATCTTAGAAATATATTTTCCCAATTGGTAGTTGGTTTTTCTCTTTTTGATGCCTTTTAATAAAAATAAATTCTCAATTTGAACGTGGTCAAATGTATCCACCTTCTTTTGAATTGTGACTTGTATCCTGTTGTCTTAAGAAATCCTTCCCAGCCCTGACTGGTTTGGCTCAGTGGATAGAGCATCAGCCTGTGGACTAAAGGGTCACAGGTTTGATTCCGGTCAAGGGCATGTACCTTGGTTGCAGGCACATCTCCAGTAGGGGGTGTGCAGAAGGCGGATATAGATGTTTCTCTCTCATCAATGTTTCTGACTCTCTATTCTCTCTCCCTTCGGCACTGTAAAAAAATCAATAATAATTTTTTTTTAATGGATATTAGTTTAAAAAAAAAACAACTCCTTCTCAAATGTGGGGTTATTATTATTCCTATTTTCTTCTAAAATCTCTACAGTTTTACTTTGCAGTTTAGACCTCAACATGAAATGGATTTGGGACTTAACTGTAAAGTGATGTTTAACACGTGGTGTGAGGTACATGTTATGAATTCCAGTTGTCCCAGGATCTTTCCCTGCTGGCCTACAGACTGCCTCTGTCATGTAGCATCCATATCAGGGTATAACTCCATCTCAGGACTCTCCATTCTGTCCTACTGGTCCTTTCTGTTGATCCCCGGATCCAGTATCATAATGTCTGTACCATTATAAATTTTAATAATATGGTACAAAGCCTTCCTTTCTACTTCGTTCCTTAAAAACCCCTTGACGATACTTAAGAATCAGCCTGCTGGGTTTTCACTGGAATTGCATTGAATGTATAGGTTATTATGGGGAGACATGACATCCTGGAGATAAACATTTCTTTGATAAGCGTGGTATACCTCTCTTTTTTTTCTTTTGTGTCCATAACGGAAAACCATAATTCCGTTCTTTTGTATTGAACTTCCTTTTCTTAGGGAAAAAGTTCTCTTTAGAAACTAAGTATACACTTCCACATCCACAGCAGTGACAGTTCTCCCTCCCTCTTGATTTTAGTCTCCAGTAGTTTCCTTTCCAGGCAGTCCCCGGTCCCATGAAATTCCAAAGAACAGCAACAACAAAACAGCACTGTGTTCCTCAAGGTCTCCCTACACGAGCATCCACCAGCTGGTCTCCATTCACCATTTGTGTGACACAAATATACCTGCTTACATTTTCATTCACTCCATCCTCATCAGATTCTGGGATATTGGCATAAATGGTTGGCAAGCGTCGTGGTATTGGTGACGTTTATTGGCTCATCACTCATCCCAACCAACGTCTACCGAGTGGCCTGGATGTGCAAATACTTTGCCAGACACTGGATGCACTTTACAGTGCGCAGAACAGGTTCACCATCCTCTTGCATCCAGTCTGCCCACAGCCCGTGGCGTAGATAGCGGGTGTACCCTTATCACCTGGCGTTACCGACAAGGAAACAGAGACCTGGGAAGCTTAAGTCACGCGTCCAAAGTCGCCAAACTCCCAAGTTGTGGAGGCGAGCCTGACCACACATCCCATGCCCTCTCCCACAACTACAGCCGACTTCCCCACGGGGGCTACGGCAGGGAGAGGGGTTCCCAGCCTTTCCCACGGTTCCCCTCCACGGCCCTGTCCCACCACCTCCAGACCTAGGGTGGCAGGCTGGTTCTCCCGGGCAGCTGGTTCTCAGCTCCTGCAGAGGCACCTGGTATAACTCTCCATGCACCTATTATCCGTAACCACGCCCGGAAGGATCTTCAGTTGGGTCGGAGGGAGCAGGGGGCGGAACTGGGAGCCCTGCGGGCAGGTGTGGGGGGATCGCTCCCTCTCCCTTCCCCTGCTCACGCTCACGCCCTGGGAACTGGTATTTGTGGAAACTGCAAACGTGTGCACTCTTGGTCACGAGGGCTTGTTTTCCATTTAGTCTCCTGGAGGAGGACTCCGAGGAGGAGGGAGACTTGTGTCGCATCTGTCAGATAGCCGGGGGCTCCCCCACCAACCCCCTCCTGGAGCCGTGCGGCTGTGTGGGAAGCCTGCAGTTTGTCCATCAGGAGTGCCTGAAGAAGTGGCTGAAGGTGAAAATAACGTCAGGTAAGCGGGGAAGGAAGAGCGAGTGGCGAACGTGTGAGGACATAGAACGATAGGAGTGTGGGACTCGGAGTATGGGACGCAGAGCCTTGACAACAGCTCCCTCACCTCCTCCGAGCAGGAACCCGGGGAAACGTGGCCACCAAGCCAGGGCTCCTGCCCACGGCCCTGGCAGACAGCAGCAGGACTCACCGCTGTCTTTCAATCATGGAAGGGAAAGGAATATTTTTTCCCCCAAGTCTGAAAGAAGAATCCCGAACCGTATGCTATGGAGCTTGACCCCTGCGTGAGGCCTCAGCAGAGATGCTACGGTTGCCTTCCAGGAGGAAGGAAACGAGAAATGGGTCAGCCGTTAACCTCGGCAAGCACACAGCCCCCATGCCAGTTAGTAGACACCTGGCCAAAACAGTTCTGCTTCCATTTATTTTGGGGGGGGCGGGGGGTCACAAAAGAAACAGAGCAAGCTGCCTTTTTGCAATAGGGGTAGAAAAAGAGCACCGGCCGAATTTTCTAGAACCTGATTAGACACAGAGTCTTCCATGTGCTGGTTTTGTCAACTCTTGTCTTCAGCCGATCAGATCTTGTAACTGGGCATGAAGCCACATCAGTAGGTAGTTTTCTTTGCAGAGAAAGGAAGGGGTTCTTTAAAACATGGTTTGGGAATGAGAGCCACTTGAGCCAAAAAAATTCAGAAGCCCAATGCAAAGAACAACTCCATGAGAAAATAGCCGCTGTCTTTCAGACACATGTCTCTACAATGTTTTCCGCCCCTAGTGCCTAACCAGGTCCTCTTTCCCTGCTTCCTGCTTTCTCCTCCTCCGGGGCCATCCTCCCAGGCCTCCTGGGACACCTAAGAGCTCTGCCCTGTCCCCATGGGGTATGGCTGTGCCCCCTTCACTAGCACAGAGCGCCATTTAGTCAGAGAAAATGAACGCGTGGCATGATCACACTGTCTCCTCCCTGAGGCCCTTGTTCCATATACGAATCTGCCCGAGAACACGCAACCTGGGCCACCGTCCACACGGCCTAAACGCATCTCCACATAGTAGGCAGGGGACTCAGTCCCTCCAAGAGCAGAGAAACGAGTGGATTTTAGCTGCTAATGACTCTGCCGGGTAATATTTCCTCTTACTAGAAACGTAGGCTGATTACTCATCTAGCACAGAAAAAAAAAAATTATTGTGAAATAGACGATGGAAGTCCTTTTAAATGCTTGTACATGCTGATGCTGGTCGGGCGTGCTGAGCAGGATTAGGTTGGAAGACACATGGGACATTCAATAGCCTACAAGAGTGGTCAGCGACCCGCGGCTCACGAGCTACAGCGGCTCTTTGGCCCTCTGAGTGTGGCTCTTCCACAAAATGCCACCCATGGGCACGCACATACAGCGACTGAAACTTCATGGCCCATGCACAGAAATCGGTTTTCAGCCTGGGCAAGTCTATTTTGAAGAAGTGGCGTTAGAACACTCAAGGGGTTGTTTTGTTCTTTTAAAAGCAAAATTGCAGACTGTTCTTTAAAAAAAAAAAAAATCGGGTGAACAAAATGCAGATAAGGGATGACTGTTCATTCTTGTCCTTTGAAATTCTTTACTATTTACTATTTCTCTTTACCTTCTGAGAGGAAAAAACTATTATTATTTACTATTTCTCTTTACCTTCTGGGAGACCTAAGAGCTCTGAACCTGAGCAAACCTTACCTTTACCAAGTAAGTGAGGGTAACTAATTCTCCAATATTCTCTAGTGTAGGGGTGTCGAACTCAATCAGAGAAGGGGCCAAAATCTAAAATCCAGCCTAAATCGCAGGCCGAATGGTTTACTGAACAGTCATAAACTGTCATTGTGATGGAAACGCAGCGGAGTGCAGTGATGACAGCGCGGTGCGGGCCACATTGCAAGGCCTGGCGGGACGGATTTGGCCCGCGGGCCTTGTGTTTGACACATGTGCTCTAGTGCAAGCATGTCAAACTCGAGGGCCGCAGGCTACCTATCTCATTGATTTGGCCTGTGTTAGACTTTGAGTTTGACATGCTTGTTCTAAAGTATAAAATAAACATTGGCACATCATTAGCCAAAACACAGCAACGACACTGAGGGAAAGACGTCTGGCAGAATGTTTGCCCAGACAGAATGGCCACAGGTCTGCACCTTCCACTTTTGCGTGGGGAGTAGGATAAGTGGAGAAAGATGCCGATCAGATATATGTCTAAAAAAAACAAAAACCACCACCAAGGAAGCCTTCTCGAGTTTCTTTTCCCAGCTCTGACTGAGCTCAGGTTCAAGGGCCGCCCGGACACTGCTGTGCTAGTTCCCACTCGTGGCCCCAGGCTCCCTCCCTTTTCTCAGTGGAAAGTCACTTGCGTGGGAGTGAAGACAGATTTTTTTATTTTTTTATTTTTTAATATACTTTATTGATTTTTTCACAGAGAGGAAGAGAGAAAGATAGAGAGTTAGAAACATTGATGAGAGAGAGTCATCAATCAGCTGCCTCTTGCTCACCCCCTACTGGGGATATGCCCGCAACCAAGGTACATGCCCTTGACCGGAATCGAACCCGGGACCCTTCAGTCCCAAAGCCGACGCTCTATCCATTGAGCCAAACCGGTTTCGGCTGAAGGCAGATTTTAAGTCATAGATTGAGGATAGCTTCCACCATCCATTGGCCCACTGTGCTAGGTCTGCAAGAAAAAAACAAAAACAAAAAACAGCAAAATCATAGGCCCAATACTTTTCTTTTTTTTGCAAACACCTGTGTTACAGACTCTCAACCTCCATGTAGCAAATCTAATTTTATGAAGCAATATGTTTATATTGAAACTGAAAGCAAGACCTGTTATTTAAAAGTCATGGGACTTTCCCTTAGACGAAGCTTGCATAATAATGAAAATGATTGCAAAGGAAATCTTCCCGTTCTCGGGTTCAAGGTCATTTGCTAAGGGAGATGACCGACTTGAAAAGAAGGTCACTGAAACTCTGAATTCATAACACACACAAGTTGGCTATCAAAAAGACCCAAAGTGTCAACACAGAAAGACCCCAGGTCATGCATAACAAAGAATTCTTTAATTTAAGGGGCGAATCTAGGCGCTGTGAAGACCTGTGAGATGTGTAAGCAAGGCCTGCTGGTCGATATGGATGATTTTAACATGACTGAGTTCTACCAGAAGCACCAGCAGTCCCGGGTAAGAGACACGCACAACCACTCTACAGGGTCAGCCCCAGCCGGTTTGGCTCAGTGGATAGAGCCTCAGCCTGCAGACCAAAGGGTCCCAGGTTTGATTCTGGTCCAGGGCACGTATCTCGATGGCAGGGGCTTGTGCAGGAGGCAACCAATCAATGTGTTTCTTTCACATCGATGTTCCTCTCTGTCTCTCTCCCTCTCTTCCACTCTCCCTAAAAATCAATGGAAAAATATCCGAGGGTGAGGATTAACAACAACAAAATAATGATAATAGAAGAGCAAAGTCAGAAACTCTTTCCCCGATATAAGGCAGGCAGGAGGCCTTGCACCCTGCAGTGGGTAGCGTTCACTTAGCTCACTTCTCGGAGAAGGTCTGTTACTGAATTAGACCATTGGCAGGTTGGAGAGCCTTGATCACCCTGGTTGAGGTCCCGCTGCTATGAGGGGCAAAGAGAGGAAGCTGTAGTCACTGAGAGGACAATAGGAAAAGTCCGGCAGGCTCTGAGCCCAAATTTGCTGAAGGAAATTAACGGAACAGGAGAAAAAAAGATCAGGATCTTAGAGGAAATGGTCTCCCATTTGTATAACAGGTAACTCTGGGATGCTCAGGAACTGCCTAACTCCAGGGTAATAAACATGTAGTAAGCACCTACTGTGTGCTTCTTTAACACCTCGTGAATGAACTCTCCTGGGGCATTTGAATTGCAATTCTAACTCTGTCAAGGAGTTAGTTGACCTTAGGTGGGAAAGTGATTTATGCCCAGGATAGTAGTTAATTGCCCAGCTCTCAGGCAAACAATCTGTGCTTAGAGTGCTTACAGTGTGGAAGCCGCAGGCCACCTGTGGCTAATGAGCAGGTAGCTACTTCCAATCAGGATGTGTTAGATACAAACTGAATTTTTTTTTAAAAAGTGTCAAATATCACATAAATACATTTATAATCATTATTTGTTGAAATGATAACATTTAGGACATATTGGGTTAAATAAAATAAATTGTTAAAATTAATTTAACAATTTTTTTAATTTTCTAATGTGGCTACTTGGAATTTTCAAATTACATGCATTTCTTTGTATATGCGGTATTGATCTATAAGGTACCTTGTCATATAATAATCAGTCAATAAATATTTATCAAAGGGAAATAGCTCCCAGAACCATTATAATTTAAGACTGACCTCCCTTATAATGTGATAAGAAAAACAAGATTAGTGGCTCAGTGGCTGATCTACGAACCAGGAGGTCACAGTTCAAAACCTGGTCAGGACACATGCCTGGGTTGTGGGCTGATCCCTAGTGTGGGGCACTCTGGAGGCAGCCGATCAAAGATTCTCTCTCATCATTGATATTTCTATCTCTCTCTCCCTCTCCCTTCCTTACTGAAATCAATAAAAATCATTTATTAAAAAGATTAATAATCATGACTGTAAAACACGTAATTTTAAAACCTAAAATCAGCTTTTTTTCTCGCTCCCCGGCCATCTTGGCGGCTGCATCTGGTTGGGGGCCGTCCCGCACTTGAGGCAGGAAGATGGTGGCCGCAAAGAAGACGAAAAAGTCGCTGGAGTCCATCAACTCTAGGCTCCAGCTGGTGATGAAAAGCGGCAAGTACGTGCTGGGGTACAAGCAGACGCTGAAGATGATCCGGCAAGGCAAAGCGAAGCTGGTCATCCTGGCCAACAACTGCCCGGCCCTGAGGAAATCTGAAATAGAGTACTATGCCATGTTGGCCAAGACTGGTGTCCATCACTACAGTGGCAATAATATTGAATTGGGCACAGCGTGTGGAAAGTACTACAGGGTATGCACACTGGCTATCATTGACCCAGGTGATTCTGATATCATTAGAAGCATGCCAGAACAGACTGGTGAAAAGTAAATCATGGGAATTTTTTCTTTAATAAAATTGACCAGAGCTTGGTTTAAAAATTGAAAATAAATAAATAAATAAATAAATAAATAAATAAAAATAAAACCTAAAATCATTGTTAACAACTAAAATGTCAGCCTTGGAGGAGGAGTCCCTGTGGCTGTCAGACCTGCAGACCTTGCGTGCAAGTAGCGCAGCTGAGCCTGCATGGTGCATGTGGGTCTGGGTATTTATGCAGTTACTTTTTTAAAACCCTAAGGCTGCCAGACAAAAGAGTGAAATATCGATACGAATGGGGATTTGGATGGCACAACTATTAAGTTTGATACAGTGGACATAATGCCACACCAGCGTTGCAAAGAATGGGCATCAGAAAGTGGAAGGGGGGGGGGGGGGGAGAAAGGATTTTCTGAGAAATAAACTCAGTAGTTTGAGACCATACATGCTGAGGGTCTTGAATCATTCAGTCACAACCCCCAGGCACCACGATCTGAGATGACAAGCAGAAGCGACTCACATTCTTGGACCCTGAGGATGCCAGAGTCAAAATTTTGAAAGGAACCAGGCCCTCTGAGCGCCTGAGGTCAGGGTGCCAGCTGGGACGCAGACAGGGCCCGTGTGCTCATCTCGAAGATCAGAATATTTCGGGAAACGCAGCCGGCCAGACTGTCCAGACCAGGCCGTGCTCCTCGGAACGCCGCCAGGACGGCCTGCAGCCTCACAAACAGCGCGCGGCCCGGGGGATGCCTCATCCAGTAAACCCTGCTGTGGGCCCAGCAGTCCACGCCGTTCTCCCCTTGCCAGGCCGCTGCCCTGCACCCTGCACTGCTGCTCTGTCCGGGGTGCTTGTGAACTGACTCGATAACAGCAACTTTTTCCATTTGTACTAACGTGTTTGCCCCCATGAAGCCAGAAGCAGCCATCCCACCAGAGAACGCACTAGCGTTAACTAAGACGTGAACCAAAATCCTATTCCCTTCCCCAGAGTTGCTGTGTGATCTTGGGGAAGCTACACGAACTTTCACCTACGGGAAATGGGAGGGGACCACTCCGGCCTCGCAGGGACGGATGTAGGAAAAGACCCAAGTGCACCGGTAATACCTCGTTCCTGCGCAGAAGACTCTCAGCCAGTGAGAACCGCCGTGTTTCAGCCACAGAGATGCCCAGCGTCTGGGCACCGCAGGGAGAAAGCTAAGTGCACCCCGAACCAAGCCAACTGGCCTACTGCACAGGGGCCACACTAATCCTTCAGCGGAGAGACCAGCTACAAGCACACTGCTGAAAGAACTGTAAAAGCGCCAGGACCGGTTTGGCTCAGTGGATAGAGCGTCGGCCTGCGGACTCAAGGGTCCCAGGTTCGATTCCGGTCAAGGGCATGTACCTTGGTTGTGGGCACACCCCCAGTAGGGGGTGTGCAAGAGGCAGCTGATCGATGATTCTCTCTTATCCATGTTTCTAACTCTCTATCCTTCTCTCTCCCTCTGTGAAAAATCAATATATATATATGTATATATATATATATATATATATATATATATATATATATATATATATATATATATATATAAACTGTAAAAGTAACTGCCAGCCAGAGTCTGGGCAGGAAAGAGATGATGGATTCCCAAGGGGTGAGTGCCTAGAGCTGCCCGAGGGCACAATGTGGGCAGTGGAAGAAATCCACAAGAAACGCCTAAGCATGGGAGACCGCCGCTGACCACCGCTAGGCGGCAGGGACAGGGGAGCTGTGACCTGAGCAGAGAGGGCTAACAGTCTGTGGCCTTCAGTAGAGGTAAGCAGCCACTGCCACACCACACCCCCGGGAGCCAATAAGGGGAATAATTGCCCCAGCCTCTCCCCTCCCTCCAGCCTCCGCCCACTGGTCTGCCCTGGCCTCCCTTTGGCCAAACCCAAGGGGAAGCCAGAGCACAAGGCGGTCTGGGTGTCGCAATCCATGGAGCTCGGCCTCAAGGCCGCAGGGCCGGGTGGAAGGTGGATCGGGAGAGAAAAACGGAAAACACCCAGCACCATAATGACGTCACTTGGATGCGGACAAGAGTTGAAATTGGTTTCAGTGAGAACTTGACTGGCCTACAAAGCCTTTTGAAAATGCCCTGCGTTACAGCCAAGGTAGGGACCGGACCGGCAGGCCTCGAGGGGCCACCTTTACACCAGTTCTGACTGTTTCCATGGCCTGTTGTGAATTTAATAGTGTCTGTGTTAAGGCCCGAGTTAAACCTGAGACACCGCAGAAGCGTGACCTAGACACGTTCAGGAACTCTCCATGTAACTGTTGTTGGACAGGACGACGCAGAAGACGTAATATCGTACAACCTGGACCCGTCCCGGCCGGGGAGGCAGGGCCTGGCCACAGGCGTCCTGTGCGCACCCGTGCGTCTGAGACCCGGGCCCTCCCCCGGCTCTCACACCTGGACTCCTCCCGGCCTCCCGGCCAACCTCAGAGCTGCTCCCTCCTGGAAGGCCGGTTCTCTTGTTGAGATGGGGTAGCTGGTGCGCAGTACAGACACGAACAAAGAGGGACACTGTACAATGTCCTGGCTCTCACCTGACCTCAACTAGCTCTCTTTAATTATAAAAATCTCCCCTAATTAAAGCAACAAGCAGACTGTCAAATTACAGCAGGTAGGGTAGGGAGATCTGGGGGTGATAACAGATCAACCGAAGGACTTGTATACATGCATATAAGTACAACCAATGGACACAAAACTCTGGGGAGGGAGGGTATGTATTGGGGGTGGGGGGGGCAATGTTAAAATACGTACACAGATAATAATTTAATTTTTAAAAATCTCCCCTAATTAAAATGAACATTTAGCTGCATACCTTCCCCCCCCCCCCCATGGTGATTATTAAATTGCTGATGCCCTGGCCCAGCCTCAGTGATCCTGATTTAATTGGTCTGGGATGGGACCAGGCACTAATTTTTTTTGGCAAGTGTGGCCAGATACACATAACACAAAAGTTAAAACACATGGAGCGCCCACCGTATGCGGGAGGTACGATGGTGCCGAGGCTGACACAGCCGCTGCCTGCCAAATGGGAAGGCTGCGAGTGATCATAACGTTGGGGGGTGGGGGTGAGACAGAACAAGGGACGTGCGGGCAGCTGTGGAAA